TTGGGGGCTATTAATCAAATGGGACAATAGTGCCAAGTTGTACAAATGATAGATTTAGTTTTATTGATTCCTGTGTTTCAAAGACAAAAGTTTGCATTTTTGTAACCCTTCATTGCGCTCACAGTTCCTAATTAAAATGGTAAATAGTAACTATGTAGAGAAGTATCAAAAATAAACAAACCTAAGTGTGCTTGTCAGGAATAAGAAAACAAACATTTATATAGTATTTTAAACAGTATGCTTGCACCTACATTGCCTTTTTTGTATCTCACCCTGACCCTGGGAGGGCAGGCATTTTCCAGGTGTGGAAACTTGGAAAGGTCTGAGAAGGGGGAAGGCCGAGAATGAGAACCGCAGTTCTACTACTACTAACTTGCTGCCCTGGATAAGTCACTTAACTTTTCTGAGCCTCAGTATCCTCACCTTCAGCTTTTGAAAATAATATCTACCTCATGGGATTCATCTGAGGATTAATGAGTTATATGTTTATAAGAGAACCCTGAACAGGACAGAGCAATATTCAAAAATTGATTATTATCCTTTCAAAGACAAATGCTTGAATATTTTCTAAATTCAGTAAGAAAGTACTACTATTTGAAATACAAGAATGGGAAAGGTCTGAGAAACAAGGAATATTATGAAACATGGAGCCAAAATCTTTGATTTTATTATCCACATCCCTCCAAAGTGGTTAATAAGCCACATTCAGAAAACCCCAGAGACAGTAAGGCATTTCATTAGAGGTAGGCAAAAGTAACTGCGAGGAGAGAAATATCAATTGACAGTGGAGGGTAGATCCAAAAGAAAGACCCAGGGGAAAGCAAAGAGGAAATTCAAAGGAGCAAAATAGTTGAGAATCATTGAATACACAGACAAAAATGTGAAAAAAATGCAATTGTTCACAAAGGTCTCACCAAATTACAGATTATAAAATAATTATTGTTTGTAAATAATGAGTTGAAATTTTTTAAAAAATTCAAAATTTAAGTACGAAAGTATATAAACAGAATTTAAAATAAAATTTCCAGGATAAATATATAAAATAAAAAGTGTTTAAAGGAGCAGTAATGCATAACATCTGTTTCCCAAGGAGGCTGGATGAACGAGGAGCTACTCTCAGAGCAGCAGTATGCAAGGGGCCATGGCACGCTTGTGATACAAGTTCTGTCAAGCATGAAACATGACAGGTAACAAAAATTCTCTAGAGTTACAATGCATGAAAAAATGAGAGTGTATCTTCTTTGGAGAAGAATCCATTTCTGATGAAACCAAAACAAGAGAATGAATGGTCTTTACAAAAAGTACTGCAGTTATAAATAAATAACCAAGAACAGGTTAATTTTATCTTGAAATATGGAGGAATAACTAAGCATTGAAAGCTCTATGGAGTTGTGTGGTGATGACAATGTTTCCTAGAGTATCGACAACATTTACAAAAGGCTATTATATTATAGTTTATGTTCAAGTTACATTTTATTGCATTTAATTCCATAGCTGCTTTATTGGCATATAACTGAACCTCCAAACTTTTCAGCCTGGTCTCATAATTTTTCCTTAACATCATAATTTCCTGTTGCTCTCCTGCACATATGCTAGGCTTGGGTAAAACAAAACAAATTTTTTTGTTCCTGAACTTGTTCTTTCTTACTTTCTCACATCTGCTCTTATGCTTGCCTTTTTCTCTGAATCCTATACCAAAGCCCAGGCCAACTTCTATCAAGTTCATAAAGCCTCTTCTGAAATACCCTCACTTAACCCCACCCAGAACAGGTCCTCTTCCCCTAAAACCCATGGCATTTTATTTTTACCATTTTTGCCATACTTACTCAGATCTACTTATCTCTCAGGCATCTAAGCAGCATATAGTAAAAAAGCGCTAGTCAAATAGGCATGAGTATATCCCAGCTCCACAAATGGTCAGGATACTTACTTCAAAAGAGCCTGAGATCCCTGCTCTGAAGAATGAGGACAATCACAACTGACTTTACATGCTCGTGCTTATGTAAAACGTTAAGCCCAGGATGAACCAATCAATCAACAAATGTATGCATTCTGCCTCATGCCTCTGATTCTACACAACAGAAGGGAGTATTTTAAAAGTCATTCAAAATTGCCTTATCTTTCCAGATTCTCCCTCTTCTTTGCATTGACCCCACTCAACCTGAAGATCAAGATATGTGATCCTCTAAACGGAACGTGAATTAATTATAATCATTAGTTTAAGTGAACAGTGGAAGGTTCCAGCAATATCCTAGACAATAAGGCAGACTTGCATTCCTATATTTATAAGAGTACTACATAAAGATGTTAAAAGAAAAAGTAGTATTATCTCTGCATGTCCTGCATGTTCGGCAGTTACACTCAGATCAGAACCTGTGAATGGCCACAACACTGTACCATCATGCAAGGAAAGGGTCAGAGAAAGTTCTAGCAGATTTAAAAAAAAAAAAAACAACTTTCAAAAGTTGTATTAATTATTACTCACTGCTGTTTTTAGAAAATGTTTCTTTTAAAAACAAAAGGAAAAAAATTAAGTGTTTCTCACTCAGTTGATAATGACAGAATAGACACTGGTGAATACCATGCAAGCATTCACAATCACACTCAACTATGCTGAAAGAATAGGTCTTGTCCTAAGAGTGAACGCATTTTAAATTGGGGGTTTCAATGAAAAGGTTACACATAGAAAACAATTATAAAAATGACTGCCTGAGGGGGACCTTGAGAAACTGAGAACATATTTATCACTAGCAACCACCACAAGACCTGATACCTGACCTTGAAGCCACTCAATACGTTTTGTTTATAAAACTGACTTTCCAATTAACACAGAAAAGCAAAAATTACCTGCACTTAATGAAACTTCAAAACCATTTAGTAAATATGGTAAAACAAGTATTACTTATAACTAGCAACCAATTGTATAAAGATTTTGGAAGTAGCTGAATCATCCACACTATGCACTAGAAACAAGACATTTCGTAAGAACATATACATGGCAAGAAGCAAGGCTAAGATCCAATTGTGGTCCCCACTTGTAGGAAATTGCAGGGGGCCACCTTAACAATTTCATTACAGCACCACAATGGCAAATATTGTGACCCTAATTAAGCAATTAGAAATGGATTTCCCATATGAAAATAATACTTCCTCCTTTTAAAAGTGGCCACCTGTCAGGTTTGTAAATTAGTAGTATTTAAGAAAATGCAAACAACATACTTGGTACAGGCTGCATGTTATCCAAAAACAGCAATCCAAAAACAAACTGTTTAATTATAGGAAGCTAATGCAGTTCTCTATGAGGTTTCAGATAACTGTTTTATTTTACCATATAAGCATGACTATGAAAAGATCTACAGCTATTTAATGAGAAAGTTTTACTGTTAATTATTGTTATGCTAGTGGGAATTGACTGAAACATTTAAAATCATGTAGGTTACTGAAACTGATTTTAAATTTTCCAGATGCTCTACACAGTTAAAATCCTGTCTTAAACAGTAGTCAATTCCTGAAACCTTATGTGAGCATTAATTACATAGCACATAGGCAGGCTAATCATTTACTCTGGATTCAAATTTCCCTGAACATTGCCTAAGAAAATTTTATGTTCCATGTTAGCTTGTTAAACAACTCAATAAAACCACATCAATTAAAAGAATTACTTTTCCACACACTACGATGTCTAACAATATGTGTCACTCAAAACTCTGTATTTTGTCCCCTGCTGATGTATCTTTTCACAGAACTTAACCAAATGCTTGGGTGGCAGGGTTTTCATGAATAATCAAGATTATTTGCAAGTGGCAACACTGAAGAAATAAAATTTGAATTAGTTTTTCCAGGTTTAACCACAATTGTAGTGCTTTGCTTTTCCCCTTTACATGATAAATCCATTATGTAATATATGTTAAATGTACAATGAACTCACATTGATTTAGAAACAGACCAGTATACAATTTTTGAAGAAATTTAGTCACTGCTATCATTTTAGAATTGATTAATGTTCCACCTTTCTGAATAGTCTTCCTGCATGGAAATGCTTCTCACCAGCTACAGTACTGCCTACATAGTGCTAACATGTACAAATACATCACAGTATATCCTATTCCACTGCCATTTATCCACTTATTAGTTTTAAATATTCATGCTGCACTACCTACCAAACAGAAACAAATCAAAACATCTCTCTCGATAACTGTGTATATTACAAAATAAAATATGTTAGAGCTAGAAGGGATACAAATTTTGTCCAACTTCCTCATTCTAACATTTAAAAAAAAGAAGAAAGCTGAGATCCAGATATGAACTTAGATACTGTCACAAAGCTAGTTAGCATCAGAACTACATCAAGACTCTTTCCCATGACACACCAGAGTAACCCAAGATTGTAATCTTAACCACAGGCATTTTCTGACAGGATAAGCTGAGTTCCGAGAATAAACTATTTAAACAAAAACCTATTCATAATAAATAAATCACCATTCATAAAAATCAATCCTCGCCCTGGTTGGTTTTGCTCAGTGGTTAGAGCATGGGCCTGCGGATCAACGAGTCGCGGGTTCAGTCATGGTCAAGGGCACATACCTAGGTTTCCGGTCATCCTTTTCCCTGGTTGGGGTCATGTGGGAGGCAACCAGTTGATGTATCCCTCTCACATCAAAGTTTCTCTCTCTCTCCCTCCCACTCTATCTGAAGATAAATAGAAAAATATTCTCGGGGGGAGGAATAAAAAAAAATCAATTCCCTCTATCAACCAGTGGAGATTGTTCAATGAGAAAAAAACCTCTTGGTAATAGACTGCTCTTGGTACCCCACCAGTGTTTGCAAGATGAACTCCGAATTCAGAAATAGCAACAATGATCTTATGTTTTTACTTAACAAGTAATTCAGGATTCACCTTCCTGCTGCCCGGACTTCAGTGGAACTCCTATTTGCTGACTGGCGGTTACAGGATTGGTTGCCCACATCTACCACCATTAAACCTTGTTATTGAAACCTACCTCCTTAGCCATGTCTGTGTATTTTTGCTTTTCCTTTGGATCGAGAGCAGCCCACCAATCAGCTAGTATCTTGGTAGCACCTCGGTTATCAAGCCTGGGGTGTTTCTGACGGACAAGGGATCGATGGCGTTTGCAAAATAAGAGAAATGCATTCATTGGTCTCCGGGCTCGCTGTTCTGGTGATTCATCATCTTCAGTCTCACCAACATCTTGCTCTAGGCCATCGGCCCCAAGAAGTTGAACCTATTACCAACCAAACAAAAGCCAGATGTTTTAACACATCCTGGACAATTTTGCTTTAACAATTAGTCCTGGTTTTCAAATTGTTATTTTTATTAGCTCTGTTTAAACAACTTATAAATTGAGAGAAATTTTTTTAAAAAATTATTAACCACTGTAAGTGGTTGATAAATAACTTCTGATGTATTCTTCTGCTTAGTTTCTATAGCAACCTGAACATGTCTACTACAGCATATATCAAACTGTGTTATAATTGCTTACACTTTTTTTCTTGTACAGCACCTAGCTCAATGTCTGGTGTAACATTAGTACTTAACTGTTGAATGAATAAACCCATTCCGTGGTATATGGGTCTCAAGGTTAACAACAATATTCGCATAAAGTACACAAACATTAAGAGTGTCTTTTTCCTCTTTGTAAAATTCTTTTCTATGGCTAATAATATGAAATGCTTAACATGACAATAGATAATAAAAATCTAACATACACTACTCAATGTTTTTGTGTACATCACAAGTAGAGCCTCCTACTGTGAAAATCAAAACAGACATTTAATATTATTTGAAGGAAGAACTATATTGTCAATTTTCAAGCTTGTAAATATTAAGCTTTTCTATCTAGTGAAATGCTATGGTGATAGGAATGAAGTCATCCACGCTTAAACCTTCAAAATCAATTTGGAACCCTCCCTTTTTCTAAGCATTTCATTCAATTCAAAGTCTTCAAGGATTCTTCAAAATTCTGCTCCTGTCCATTCCATTGGTGTAATTCTCATCATTACTACCCTAGTACCACTCTGGCCTATGGTCTAGTCTTCCTACTATTAATCTCTTACAAATACTTCCTGCACGTGGCTGAAGATTAAATTTCTTAAAACACATCTCTGAATATATTAGAATAATTCAATATCTTCTAATTCTAAAATATGATTTTATATCTTAGAAACATTGCAATCGTGAACAGAAGTCCAAAATGCTTTTACTAAAAGCATTTCTTTAATTTCCTGTTTCATAGTTAAAATCAAGAAGGATCAAGGTTATTGTTAGTCTGTACTATATAGGAGAGCAGTAGTTCTTAACCTCATGCAGGCACTGAAATCCCTAAAGGTCTTGTGAAAACAGATTCCCATTCCCATTCCCAGAGTTTCTGATTCTGTAGACCTGGAGCTGGCCTTAAGAATTTGTATTTCTAATAAGTTCCCAGCTGATGCTGATGCTCACGCTGCTGCTGGTCTGAAAACCACACGCTGAGAACCAGTACTATAAGGCAGCCATGTTTTTTTATATTATGTTTATTGGGCAACTATTACAGATAAGATACTCTAGGACAAATCACTAGCTTAATCAAATTTGCTATTTTTTTTAAAGTCTTTTAAGTTTAAATAAAGTATTGCAAATGCATGTAATTGACCATCCGTTATCTTCAAACACAAATAGTACAGAACAAACTTGAAATCATAGCTCTCTGATTTGGAAATACATTTGGGATTATTACTGAGTTGAAGGGTACAGATTTTTCTTATTACACATACAATCATTAACAACAATTTGCATTTTCAAGAAATATTTATTTAGCATTCTGAAACTAAGAAGCCAAAGAGAAACCAGGCATGAAAAAATGTATTATGTAGGTTGAGGAAGTAATTACAATTTCCTTCAGAAAAGAGTAACTTTTGATGCAGTTACTAAATTATAAAACTCAAGCCAAGAGCTGGAAAAAGAAATAAATAACATAAGATCCAGGCCCAAGGAGCTCACTGTTTTGGGAGGGGAAATGATACATATGTGAATAAATTAAAAAGCAGCATGCTGACTGCGACAAGGAACCAGTGTGATAATGAAGCACTAGTAGATGGGTAGAAGCATGAGGAAGTCTCCCTAGGAAAGGTGTTGTTTGAGCTAAATTCTGAAAGATGAATTAGCATCTGTCAGGTAGTCAATGGGAGACATGGGGGAACTAACGGGAATTACGGCTCTGTGGTTTATTCAAACATTGATATGCAGTTCAACAGCACTAGTATATAAAAGATTACAACAGGGATCTGTGACGTGAGATTGTAGAAGGTAGGAGCCACTTTATGAAGAATGTGTTCTGTCACCTAAAAACACATGCATTTAATCATGTAAATAAGTGCTTTCAGATTGTATAGACCAATAAAAAACCTTGCGGGGACCAACACAGATAGCCAACGTTTTATTTTGCCAAGTACAGACCTCAAAAATAATGTTTTTAACTACTATCTCATAATATTAACCAACCCCACACAAATGAATAAACAGATAAATATGTGACTAAATAAATAAAATTAAATATAAATGAAAAACTCATTTTCTGAATTTATTTATTTTTTCACCAGGGGCCGAGTTGTTAATATCTTGTAAAAAAGCGACACTAGAACTAGACCAGGACATGAAAATCCTGTTAAAACCACAAGTGAGATTTGTAGTTTAAGATAAATCTTGTAAACCATGAATTATAACAGCAAAACTAGATGTAACCAAAACTAGAGCAAGCAATTAAAAGTCTATTCCAGTGCCCAGGTGAGAAAGGGAACAGGGCTAAGTCAAGGTAGTAACAATGAGAATGGATTTGTGTGAACAGAGACAATATTTATGAGGTAGAACCAAGAGTATTATCTAATTGGATTTAAAGACTGAAAGAAGAAGAGTATTTCTAGCTTCAGTGGCAAGATTCCTTCATACACAACAACAAACACATTTTCTCAAATGAGAGAAATTAGATCTGGCAGGAGCAGAAGGATCAGTGCTGAGCAGGCTGAATTCAAACTGGCTCTCGGAAAAGTCTCAGCTGGGATAACACACTGAGGTATCAATGTCAAGGTACTAAGACTAAGGGTGTGGATGAGATCAGTGGATGTGGACTGAAAAGAGAAGAGGATTCAATGACTTCCTTCTTTCACTCAGGAACTGTTACTGGCCACCTGATAGGGACGGACCAGGCACCGTTGCAGGTGGTGCACACACAGCAGTGAGCATACAAATTGCTCCCAGGAAGCAGAAGCGCAGCACTACCAGCCTCCACTTGGAAAGGATCCCCCTGGGTGCTTTGTTCAAAACAGACTGCAGAAGGGCAAGAGCAGAGGCAGAGGGAGAGACAGAATAATCTGTGCTAGAAATGGTGGTGGCCTGGGTCAAGTTGGTAGCAGTGAACTTGCTAAGAAGGGGTCAAATTGAGAACATATTTTGAAGGTATGGCTAATAATTTGCTGATGGATGAACAAATGTGAAACTTGTGCGAAAGAACACAGACAAGGTTTCAGGTCAACTGACTTGAAAGTTGGAGTTCACTTACTGAGAAAGGGAAGATGCAGGAGAATGAGGTTTGGAGGAGAAAAAGACAATGGCTTCACTTTGAACATATTCACACTGAGACTCGTATATATTTAAGTGGAGATATCAAGTAAGTAGTCAGAAATTCAAGTCCAGAGTTTAGGAGAAAGGTCCAGGATGAAGACAGAAATTAAAATGAGCTCAAAAGTCAACATTTGAGGGTAGAATAATGAGGGGCATGAACTGAAAGAAACTAGAAAAATACATTTGAGAAGGTAGAAACAGGAGTAAGTGATGTCATGGAAATAGGAGACAGCTTCAAGGACCAAGTGATCAAAAGGTAAAAAGGTGTCAGAAAGATAAATTAAGCATAAACTTGGCAATTTCCTTGAAAAGAAGGAGTAACACCTATTCCTCCGAACAAGGAAAGGAAGAGGAAAAGACGGGCGAGGAGTGAGAAATGTGCACAGGTGAAGGGAGAGAGGAAACTGAAGAAGTCACTTCTGGTGGCCTCTATTTTCGCTATGACAGAGGAAAAAAGGTCCAGAGTGAGAGAAACCATAAAGGGTATGCAGTGAAGATGTTTGAGAAACAGCAAAATGTTTACAATTCCAGCTGAGACAGTGGAGGAGGAAGCTGACCCAAACCAAGAGCAAAGGAATAAATAGGTGTCAAAGGCCTGAAGAATATAAAAAATGTTTATAAAATTTACAGAGACACAAAATCTGTACTCATTTATTCTCCCATTGAGCAAATATCTATTCAATACCTACTATGTGTAAGGTACCATTCTAGATCTAAGAAAGGAGAGGAGCATAAGAGAGGCAAGTTCTTACTGAGATTATATTCCAGTCTAGAGAAACAGACGTAAACAAGGACATGGTTGAATACAAGGCAAATAATAAGAAGCACTATGAAAGAAATCCTTTGACTTGATGAGTTGGGTGGGGCCTGAAATGATGAGGTCCCATCTGTTGGGGGGATCGTCATTAATGATGAGGAGTTATGCCAAGATGTGGAGGAATATATGGCTTCCTAAAGTTACCTGCATGGTTGTGTGACTTTCTAAACAAGAGCAGGATGCTCAAGTGTGAGTCCAGAGAAGGGACCTTGGAGGACTGACTGCCACAGAGGCTGGGTGGGTTGAGAGCAGCCAGATGACACAGAGATGAGAACCTGAACAGCTCTGAGGATGCTTATGGTGGCAGGGCTAGGCTAGAAGCCACTAAAGAGGCCAGAGGTGCAATGGTTTGGGTGCCAGGTGAGCACACCAAATTTTCTGAATACCCCCATCTCTACTGCATCTGAATATTCCTTTCAAATCATTAGTTAACTGATGGAAATACTATTTAAGAAGGTCTATTTCAGTCTAAGCTACTAGGAAGTAGAGGCACTTTAAGAATCATCAATATCTGAAATAACAATTTAGAGTAAGTGGTTAACTAGGATTCAAGTTACAGACTTTTAGAAATGCATGTTTCACACCACAGGTGTTCACTAAAGTTTCCAAAATGGAAGTTCAAATAAAATTAAAACTTCTATAAAAAATGGAGGAAGTACCTTATCAATATCCTCCTCTTCGTCTTCGTCTTCCTCCTCTTCTGAAAAGTCAAGAAGTTTCTTGGCCAACAGTGGATGCCACTGAAGACACTTCCGCTTTGGTCTTTTTCCAGTCCCTTCTCCTTCTGCTGAGTGATCTTTATTTCTATTACTGCCTTTCATTACTGTGACCTATGAAAAGGAAAAAGGGACAGAAACAGAGATGTCAAAGTAAATTTGATTACAATTAGCTTATTTAGCTCCCTTCTCTTTAATTGGATTATAGTTCTCTCATTTATTTACTTATTTTTTGTTTTCTTTGTTGGATTATAGTTTTAATGAATAAAGTACCTACCAGCTCAGGCATCTACTGAATTCAATAAGAATTCTAAGTACATAATCAAACATTCATTTTAGTGGGCCAAATTGAGCTAATGAAATTCGCCTTTTATGAAATCCACTTCCTTCCACTCTGAAATTTCAGAACTCAAAATCCAAGTAAAGTGTTAGGATGATTACAAATCGCCATCTCCCATCCCTACTTATGTAGGGCAGGGTATCTCAGCGCTCCGTCGGAGAGATGTGACAGGACCTGCCAGGGCAGTAAGTGTGTTCACAGAAGGCCCTCCACACCTTCCTGGATGGCTCCTATGCTAATAATGTGCATACATTTTACATTCTACACTACGATAAATCTGAGATTTGAAGTATTCGATAAAATGAATACTTTGTAAGAATCAAATGTTTTGGATTTAAAAGGAAACTTTCATAAAACGACACACATTTTTTCAAAAACTAGTTATGTGCAGCCTCCAAGGGCGCAGTGCAGGAACACTGGTCTCTCAGGGGGGTGCGCAGCCTCAACGCCCATCAGTGACACACGTACCCAAATGCCGTGTGTCTGTCTCTCCATTACATACACACTGCAGCCCAGTGATGAAGTTTCACTCCCTCATCATTCTCCCCCTAATGGGTGATTCACTGAAACGGCTAGGCAATCGCCAGGCTATTAATGTGACAAAATCTTTTAGAAGCTACAAATTCTAAACTATTTTTCAGTTACTAAAAAAAAATTTTTCTCAATAAAAAAACAAAAAACAAAAACATTCATATTGTAACGGTGAAAAGAGCGTAAAATGAGGTTTACCTACATCATCACGCCCAGCCCCACAGCCCAGAGGTAAACTACACATGTCCAGTTTCTTATATACTTTATCACAATTTGTGTTTTTTTTCTTTTTTATCCTCACCTGAGGACATTTTTCCATTTTTCGTTCAGATAGAGTGGGAAAAAGAGAGAGAGAAACATCGATGTGAAAGGGACACACATGACCCAACCAGGGCCGGGGACAAACCACAACCGAGGTACGTGCCCCTAGCGGGAACCGAACCTGGGTCTCTCTGGACTGCATGCCGACGCTCTAACTGCTGAGCCAAACCGGCTAGGGCTTATTTTTCATTCTTTCATTTGAAGTACCAATACACAAATTATAGTTTAAACATACTCATGTAAACATTCAAATAGTGAAGTTAAATGTCACCCATTTAAAGGGTTCATACTGACGACAATCACAAACACAAACACAGTTGCTAAAAACACAGGGTAATGGCCTTCTTTGGGTAGTATAAGTTTGTCTCGGTCCAAATGCTTAAAAAATATCAGTAGTTTTAATGTTATGTTGCTAAAAATGGCGTCCACATGTAGTTTGACGATTCATCAGTACTCAGGCCTTCAAAACAATATGGAACAGGTAAATTTATCCTCCCTAATTATTTCTGGATTTGGGGCCAAGCTTCAGTCTTCCTCACTTCAAATTCTTTTTTAAAAAAAATCAGTATTTCCTTTTAGAACTTGCATGACTTCATTATTTAAAAAAAATTAAGTATTTGATCTTGAATTCATTTTGATAAAAGGAGTGAGGTAGAAAAATAGCTTCCTTTTTTCCAAATACCTAATCAGAAAACTGTTCCAACACCATTTATTAAATAATTCAGGTTTCTCCCAATCATTTGAAATGCCACTTTTATCCTATCCTAAATTACTACACATGTATAAGTCTATTTCAGAATTCTCTTCTGTATTATCAACATTTTCCCTCTTACCTATCTTATCCAATTTTAATATCCTTAAGGACTACATTATGTATGTTTTTCATACATAAATATAACAAGTAAAAAGTCATTAATATTTTTAAACTGCCTATATCAAGCTCTTCTCTCTAAGTCAGCAACCTTGATCATTCTCATTTGGTAATAACTATGTAATATTTCAAAATAAGAATGTATCACAATTTATTCAATTATTCCACGAGTGATATAGACTCAAATTACTTCTTGTGTTGCAATAAAAAAATCCTCATTTATTAAAAGTCTTCAAATATTCATTTTGATAAAAATCCTCATTAATTTATTAAAAGCCATGTCTAGTCAAAATAAAAAATACGGTGGGGAGGGAGAGAAAAGAAAACCATGTTCCTGTAGTTTTCTTAGCAAGAAACTTCTGCTGAATATCTGAAGCAATTACATGATTTGTGTGGCTGCCTCAGAGTACAAGAAGTTATTGAAAACTCTAAATGGAATTAGTTATCTGGTTTGCTCTTAATAAAGGGACAAAGATTTCTTGTGAACTGATGATAGACCATTTAACAATTCCCATTCTATCTACAAATAAAACTTGGCACAGGCAACCCAATTTCCAAAAATACCAATGCTATACAGAGAGAAGAGGAAATGGTTATTTTTGTGGCTTATTAATCACTTCAGAATAAGCTGCCTGACTGGTAATTACACCCACACTGAAGGCCCAATATTTTATGAGATAACACATTTTTAAAGTAAATTTAACTTTTCTTAAACTTATTTATTTTAGGGAGAGAGAAACATCAATTTGTTACTCCACTTATTTATGCATTCATTGGTTGATTCTTGTATGTGCCCTGACCAGGAATCAAACCCACAACCTTGGCATACCAGGATGACATTCTAACCAACTGAGCTACCTGGCCAGGGCCAGACCACACATTTTAAAAAGAGTAACACAACTCAATAGGAAACTATAAGCTGTTATCAACTAGCAAGGTAAAAGTGACTGACAATGCCTAGAAAAAAATATATCATTTAGCCATAAGGATTTTGATTATGCTATTTCATTTATGTGTCAGAGTGTGTAAGTATATGTGCCTTTGTGTATATATGTATAATTTCAATATTCAAACAGAATACAGGATATCAAGAATCAGATTAATGGATGATATATGTGGCTTTTGGGTTCAAGATAACCATATTAACCGTCCCCAACCCCCAACTGTTCTACTTCTTACCATGCAGCTGATATGCCACTACAGATACTATGTAAGTCTTCTGATACGCCACAAATTAACCTCTCCTTCCCCAGATATACACTAGAAAGATTCTGTACTGCTAATGACATCACATTTTACCTTAAAAAACAATTATTTGGATATACTCTGCCTCCATCACTAGGTCTTTTTCTTGACAATCCAAGACTTCCTATGTTCAGAAGCATCCTGGCTCACCAGAACAGCAAGATCAATTAGTTGTGAGTGTTGTCAAAAGCAATTATATAAACCTCCATGCTAAATTTTGGCAACAATTCACTATTTTTCACTATTCACACTAGAATTCACTATTCACACTAGAATGGGTCCAAATTTAACCCCCATCTCTCTCATTCTCCTGAATTCAGATACTATTCCCTGAGTAGGGAAAAGGTGCGGGGAGGCTGAAAATTGCGTATACTAATATGCAGGCCAAGGTGGCATGTGGTGTGTGAGAACTACCTGGGCTTTGGGAGATTGACAACTTGGCACAGTGCCTAGAACACAGTAGGCATGAAACAAGTATTTTTACCCTGAATGAAAGATGAATAAATGAGTAAATAAATTGGAGAGAGTACACCTCGGACAGAATAGTCAAGAAAAGTGGAACTGATCGACAATAAACAGGAAGTTTCAAACTAACAGGAAACTTTAATAATTTATAGTTACCTAATTACATTTTAATTCCCTATGGATCTATTTTCAAAGTGTAAAAAGAAGGCAAAAGAGAGGGGGAAATGATGCTCCTGATTATCACTCAGATGTAACGCAAAGCAAGAGAAGAGAATGCATGAAAAGACGAAGAAAATGTGGGAAACACAAGAGCAAAAAAGGCAAAATTTTGAGACTTAACCTTATTACACATCTCATTTTAACAATGAGGAAGATGAAAAATGGTTAATTTTTGGCCCTGGCTAGTTTTGCTCAGTGGTTAGAGTGTTGGTCTGTGGACTGAAGGGTCTCAGGATTCAATTCCTAGTCAAGGGCACATACCTAGGTTGCAGGTTAGTTCCCCAGCCCCGGTCGGGGGCAAGAGGCAACCAATCGATGTGTCTCTCTCACATCAATACCCCCCCCCCCCACCATTTCATTCTATCTAAAAATAAATGGCAAAATATCCTTGGCTGAGGATTAAACAAAACAAAAAAGAAAAATTGTTAATTTTTGACAGTAACAGAGAACTACCCTTGTAATTATTTGCCATTAAAACCCATACACTGTAAAGTTTGGTTGCTGCTTCTTGAATAAGAGCATATTAAGCAGTCTATGAAATAAATGAAGCAACTGGTAGACTTTATTCAAAAGAGGTCATTCTTCCATTCTGTATTACAATTCTAGAATAACTGAAGTCAGGTTATTTAACTATCTATCAGTGGACTCTATTTGAAAGATTCCATAACAAATTATGCTGCTGAAATTGTCAAATGATGGAGGCTGAAGGTACTAAAATACTGAAGGTACCTTATCCAAAATGTATTTATCTTATAAAAACAAACCAACCCATGTGTGTCCCTTTCTATGCCAGGATGAGCAATTCAATACTCATTGTACTGAATTAAATGTAAATCAACTTGGTGATAAATTAGGCCAAACTTCATTTAACTGTATTCTTCAAATGCAGCAAGCCCATTCATAAAGACCTTACTGAGCTCAACCGTCATGAGAAATTTAAAGTAGAAATATAATAGAAGAAACAGTACAAAGCAAACACTTCATTTAACAAAAGAAAAAACGAAAACAAAAATGGACACTGGAGAGCCTGACAGGCCTCATTTAGAATCCTGCCTCTGCCACTAACTACTTGTTGCAAAGTAATTAATCTTGCTGGTCCTTCCTCATTTATAAAAATTGAAT